TTAAATCAGTGTTATGGCAGCATTGTTAAAAATGCTGTATCTACATTTCCCATAGACATTTCAATGAGCTTGTGTAGTGTGTTTACTGGCATTAGGTGACTAAAATGTTCCAGAATTTAAAAACCAAAAAAAAAAAGCATTTTGAAAAAAAAAATGTCATTTCTTTACTATTCAATTTCTCAGATACTAAAATGAATAAAAACTCAATTGAGAACTTATGCTCTACAGGTTTCTCATACTTCTAACCATAGAACTGTTCTTCTATGTGAACTCCTTGAAATAGTTTTTTGTAGATTATATTCTCAGATATAAAATTTTAGAAATAAATCTTTTCTAATAAAGAAAAGAAAAAAGTATTTTTCTACTACTATCTTTTTAATTTTGATATTATAATGCATGCACACATATATACAACACTTACTTCTTCCCTCCTCTCTCCAACCCTACCACCTACCCCTGCTTTCAAATTCATGGCCTCTTTTTAATTGTTGGTGTGTGTGTGTGTGTGTGTGTGTGTGTGTGTGTGTGTGTGTTCCTAAATACAAGCTGCTCAGTCTGTATATAATTAGTTGTGTGAACCTGCTTTTGGGACTGACCATTTGGTATTGGGTCACCAATTGATGTGTTCTTCCTTGGGGAGGACTCTTTTTTCCTACTCTCGACCTTCCTTAGTTGCATATAGTTCTTTGTCTAGAGTTGAAGACTCATGAGATTTCGCCCTTCCTTGTTAGCATGTTGGTGTCATCCTTGTTCTCTTCTTGTTTAGGCAGCCATATTGGTTAGAATTCATGTATGTAGCTTACTGACATTTCTAAGAGAAACACTATCACAGCAAACCTGTTTCCTGTGCCCTGAACTCCTTCCCCATCTCTGCAGTGACCCCAAACCTTAGGTGCAGGGTTATGTTGTAGCTGCATTGGTTGGAACTGGACTCCAAAACTCTGCGTTCTTTATGGGTTGTCTGTGTCTACAGCAAATAGAAGTTTCCTCGATTCGGGGTGAGAACAACACATATCTGTAGGTATAAAGACAAATATTTAGAATATTGATAGGAGTTGTGTGAGTTTAGTAAGTTGGTTGTGGATTTTCTAAGATCTATGACTGCACTAATCCTTGGTAATTGGTGGAGTTTCCAATACTAGCCATGTCTTCCTTCTTGTTGAGCTAACTCACTGAATATGACCTTTGCTGGTTGCTTCCTACCCTGGTTGGTTTTGTTTTGTTTTGTTTTTATTTTGTTTTGTTTTGTTTTTTGTATGGAGGGAAATTTTAATTATGTTCATATCAGTCCAATTCTGGTGCTTAGGAGCTCAGGGATGTGCTGATAAGTCCTCTTCCCATACAAAATGTGGTCAATTGAGGCAAAACCATGATAGAGACCAAATTCTTTTGCTTAGAAACTTGTGTTGAATAATGTGGTTTAAATGAAAAAGCAAATGGATTTCTTAATGTGCATCCCATAATTAGACTGACTTCCACCCAGTTGAAGGATATGCTGAGTTTGGGCAGGCTTTCTCCATTGGGGAGAGGACTCAGCAGAACAATATGTTCTCTGTGACTGTCTTTTATCAAGAGAAACTAAAGAAAGGGTACAACCACAGAGAACCAGGTCCTCCCCAACTCACCAACACCGAGAGAGAAGAGGGGCCACGAACGAGTGGTAATGGGGCCTAAGAAGTGAGAACCATGGCTCTGTTACCTTTCTTGCCTACCACCAAACTCTCTGTGCAGGCTCCCCTGGGTGATCCAAGGGACCATGGCCTCCTTCCCCATGCCCGGGAATTTCTCCACTGCCTACCTTCCTTTATGTCTAGTTCTTACTTTCCTCTACTGCTTCTCCTCTCCCTGTAGAATTGGGGTCGTGATGGCACTCTAAGGACCCTCCCTTTCTCATCTCTTTGAAGAGCTCAAATGTTTTCTCATTTTTTTTTAATCACAGAAAATGCATGGTGCACATATTTCACTACAATGAGGATTAGTAGGCTCTCCGGCCTGCCAGCTGTTTTCATAAATAGCATTGTCTTGGATCATAGCCACTTTATTAGTTCACATGATCTCTATGGCTGACTTTGGCTACAGTAGGAGCGTTGTGAAGTTGTGACAGAGACCATATGGCCTGTAAAGCCCAACATCTTTACTATCTGGCCTTTCACAATAAAAGTTGGCCAACCTCTAAATTATTTCACGTTAGTCCTTTAAGATCTGAATGAGCTGTATTTGGATGTGTAGCCTTTATCATTTACTGAAAATAAGATCTACATTTTCAAACAAAGAAACTAACATGCTATAGAATATGAGGAATTTTGCCTAGTAGTACCTAAACTGCATCTGGTCTTTAAAACTCTGGAGAAACCCCAAGGGCTCTGTGTGTTTCCTTTATAAGACCGGAAAGAAGGACAGTGGCTGGCTCTGGTCGGAGGTAGTTTTCCTTACCATTGGAGAGAAGAAAACACATGATGTAAGGAGCTTAGTGAGGCAGAAAAGAACGGCAAGACTAGGATGAGTCCCGACTTCAGACGTCCTTTTCAGAGCTGTTGCCTCTCACGCCTATACCAGCTCAGGAAATAGGTTCTTCTGCCCTCCCCGCGGAAGACCAGGGCAGGTCACTGAGTGCCTCTGCCCCTTGAAGTTTGCTTGTTTGGCGAGTAGAGGTGGGGGGAGATTTTACCATGCCCAGCCGACAGTCATCAACAGTTTTACAAAAGATAAATTACCATGAAAACCTTATAGGAATTGGTTCTTCCTTCTAAATGGCTGACTTGAGAGCTTTTTGCGTCTCTATCGTCTGTAAGGCATAAACAGTGTCTCAAAACTAAAACATCTCACATTGCACTTCTAGGATTTGTTTTATTTATTGTTATGCTGTCTAACTTCTAAGCGCTTTATGCAAAATATTTAAATTTTTCATCCTGATAACACAATTCCATTGGGGAAAACCTTCAGAAGCTGTATTTCTTTCCCTGTGACCTGTTCTTTTCCTTTGCCGGGTTCTACTTCGTTTTGTGCCTTTGTTTGCAGAAATAATCTTGCAGATGGCAATTTCCCTTGTAATCAGTGATTGCCTATCTGAGTCATCACCCAGCGTGGCATTTCAGTAAATAGTGCTTGTGCATTGCTTCCAGGCAGATGTGTTGTGTGCTTTCAAGAACACTGGCTGATAACCTTTCTAGCTTTTCAGGCAGTAGGGACAGATAGAGAAAATTTTATGTACTCACCTTGAAACAAGAAAATGGCAAAGGAAGCATAGATTTTGTGGTGGATAATTCCAGCTAACTGCAGTGTCAACTGTGGCGTGGTTAAGCGGTCACTGTTTTAAATGAATCATCTGTTGTTGAGAAAGTAACTTTTCACAGTGAGTCTATCACGGTTCCTTATACTTTTGTTTTGTTTTTTATGCACATTGTTAACATGGCACATTCATTTGTATCGTGATAGCTGAGCATGCTGCCATGCTCATGTCTGTAATTAAGCAAACTGAACTCCTTGTACTCTGGTTTCTCCATTTGTATGTTGGGGATGGATCCTGACAGGATAAGGCTCTTTTGCATGTGTCAGTGCATGATTACTGTAAACAGCCATGTGTTGACATAGCAGTAAAGTTACTGCTATTATATTCAGACTGGTTTTCTTTCAGTATGAATTTTGAAAAATACTATTAACTTTTTAAATTTTAAAAATGATCTCACAATTATGTTACAAATAACAGAATATCAAAGTAATATGTCATAAATTTGCCTTTCAAATTTCATAAATTTTAGAAAGTATTGTTTTTTATTAGCTACCTTTCAGTGTTTAACCACAGATTTATAGGTGAAATACTACAAAGAAGTTCTCTCATTCATTGAACCAGTAAATACTGAGTACCTTTTTTTGTCCTGAGTCCTGCCCAGCAACAGTCATATTGCATACTCTGAAAACACAGCCAATAGACTGGATTAGTCTATATGAAAGCATTTGGGGGAGCTATCAACAGAAATTTTCCATGGTTCTCAAATATAACGATTATTTAGTTCTGCATAGATTTTAAGAACCTTCTCTTAAATTGTCACCATTGATAGCCTAAACTTTTGTGTTTCATAGAAAAAGTTACCTTAGTATATATTTTCACGATTTATTTCTCCTTACTACTTTTAACATTCCTTAGCATTAACAAATTCCTTACCTTTGATTTCAGTCAACCATCATCCATAAGCTTGATAATTTCACTGTTATGTACATTCTTCATATTGACCTCATTTTATGGGAAGAACAATTTACAAATTACTGAATTAGCTTCTGATTATGCTTCAGAGAAATAGGCTAATTGGATGTGTACTGACCATGTGCCAATCACCAACTTTTAAGAATAAGCAAATTAAAGCAGGCCATTAATAAGTTGTTACGCTTATACTTGCTCAACTGTGTATGCATTCTATGTCCTTGAAATCAGCTAATCCAAATTAACTCATCAATAGAATCTACTGAGGCACTAGCCTTAGACATCATAGCGCTAGCTGAGAGCTATTTATGTGTTTGTTCATTGTGCTTTCCTGCTGTGAAGATTGTATTCCATTTGGTTTATTGTTACACAGAAACATGCATATCTAGTTTAATACACAGGGACACACACAAAAAGAAAAGATTAAGTCTTATGAAACAAATTTGGAGACCAATTACTCGTGGCATAAAGAAATTTGTATTTTAAAATAGTTTCCCTGTCTGCAAACCATAGCTTTATTGGTTTGTTTAAAATATGACTTGGTATATACAATACAAATTGATTTTATTTTTTTCCAGTGTAAACTTATAGAAGCAGGGTACATTTTAGTGTGTGTTTATGAGAGAACTAGATAAAATACATTTTATTATTCTTAAAAATTGATTTGTTTACTTTGTATCAAAGGGGATAGTGGTCGCTTCCATGGCACAGAACATATAGTAAGAAAAAGTACTGTGAACAAACAGAAAAAAATAATTGGTCATAACAGAAAAGTTCTCTCTGTCTCTCTTTTGTTGCATAGGAGATACAGCTAAGGAAATGAGATGTAAACCCTCCGAAGCAGAGGGCAGCCAGTCTTTGGAGGTAAGTGAAATGCAGCAAGAATCCTTTGGGCGTGAAACTGAGCAAGTCCCTGTGATTCCACATTCTCCTGAGGATACGTAGTAACTTAACTCACACCAAGAAGCCAGTGGTCTATGAAAGCTGGTGATGAGCAATACAGTGAGCGACTTCCCAAGGACCATGTGCTTTCTAGTGCAAGAAATAGGGTGCAACTTTTGGAAGGGGGTGAAAAGGAAGAGAGGGACAGAGAGGGGAGGGGAGGAACAATGGAAAGGAAGAAAGGGAAATTAGGAGAAAAGAAGGGGGCTAAAGGAATGTGATTCTTGAATTGGAACAATTTGACTGGTTTTGAGTATTTTTTTTTCCCTAGCACATTTGAATAGATAGTATATGAATCTGCACAGAGTTCTTTTGTCCATTTGTGCATCAGAGAGTACTTCCTTACTATTCCGGAGAAAAACCAGCTTTATCTTCTTTTTCCATGAAAAAGCTGTTTTCTTCTGGACAGTGTGCCAGGATACTTTCTGCACACTGCATTGGCAGTGCTTAGTCATCTTTTAGGGAATGGGAAGTAGTAACATCATGCTTTAGTGGAAGAGATAGCCACAGTGTTGCAGTTTTCTGCACAGTGGCCCCCTTGGTTTCTCACGGGTGCCTGAGAGTACTGCTGAATCCAGCTGCAGTGAAGTCGGGGATCTGAAGTGTTTGTTTCAGCACGAGAGCCCAGTGCCTACTACACAGTAGGTGGTCCAAAAGATTCCATAAATGAATACATTAATTAAGATTAATTAAGTATTAATGAGCTATGAGTAGAAATTTACATTTATTTTTAAGGAATTTTTAATCATTTTCACTAAGAAAATGTTTTATAACCAAGGGAGAACTTATTAAGATTGATGAATAGGAAGAAAAATCTTTTTAAAAATTGCCTGTATTCATTTTTTCATTTATTCATTCCACAAATATTTATTAAGCACTGACTATCCCTAAGGCACAGTACAGAGGACTGTGTAGGTGGTGGTGAAAGAAATGGGTGCAAGAACAAAAAACTGTCTGCCTTGTTGAGGGAAGCTGCTTGTTCGTTTCCCAGCTGCCCAGACTCCCAAAATAATCACTCAGAAACTATGGTATTTGCAATACTGTTTGGCAAGTAGCTTAGGCATATTTCTGGCTAACTCTTACATCTTAAATTAACCCATTTCTATTAATCTGTGTATCGCCCCGTGGCTGCGGTTTACAGGCAAGTTTTCATCTGTCTCCTGCGGGGCTATATAACTTCTCCCTGACTCCACCTTCTTCCTCCCAGCATTCAGTTCAGTCTTCCGCGCCTAGCTCTATTCTACCCTATCGCAGGCCAAAACAGATTCCTTATTCATTAACCAATAAAAGCAACACATAGACAGAAGGACCTCCCACACCATTACCTTTTATTCTGAAGTACCTTGATCTCTTCAGTTTTATTTCACTTCAAGCATCCCGTGAGAGCTAATGTGAGTACCATAGGAAATTATTTCTCTAAGTTTTAGAGCTGGAAAGCCCAAGATCAGGGCGCTAGCAACATTACTGTCAGGTAAGAGCCTGCTTTTTGATTCATATGTGGCACCTTCTTGTGTCATGACATGGAGTCCTGACCATCATTCCTTCTTAAAGGAACCAATTCCCCTTATAAATGGTCCATCCTCATGACCTAATTATCTCCCTAAAGCTGTATCTCTTAATGCTACTACCTTAAGAATTCAGTGTCTACATGTGAAATGGAACGTGGGTGTGGGGAAGCATGTTGAGACTTAGCATACGTACATGATGTACTAGAGATGTCTATACAGCTTGACAGTTTATTATTGTTTTTAAGGTTTCTTGTCAGTATGAATAATTTCAAGGCTACTTCCTAAGGAAAAGAGCGTTTTAAGAACCATAAACACTTAAGCATTTTAAGTAACATCAAATTCTAGCGGTGCTGTTTCTGGACTCTGAGTTAGTACATTGGGGTTGATGGATGTACTCAGATGCGTCAGAAGTACTTACTGAGTAATGGCGAAGCCAGAGTTTGCTCACGGAGAACACAGAAGAGACAGGGGAAGCCACAGTTAAATTGTAATTCAAGAGGCTGTCTGATTTATCAAAGTTGGGTCAAACTTATTTATCTTTACCTTAAACATCTAAAATGTAATCCTTCATTTCTCTTGAAAACATTGCTGTATACTTTGTACTGCCTAAGCCTTCATGTAGAAACAAAAAGGAATGTACCAGCTAAACTAGCTGTTTTCATCTCTGGGGAGTGGCTCATGACTCCCACAGTGGATTATCTAGTCTTTGATCCTGAGTTTAAGACTGTCTAACCCGCTGGCAACATTTTACTGAGTATCTAAATATATCAACCTAATTTGATCATAAAAGGCTTGATCATTTTTGTGTGCGCACCCACTCCCCACAGCACCAGTGTCCAGGATTTCTTCTATCTCTTCACATCTCTGTCATCTGTGACGTGGCGTGGAGCTGAACCCCCTGAGGATTCCTCGGCTCCAACAGTCCTCCAGCCTTGTCACTGTTAGAGCAGTCAAAGCCACCACCTTTTTTTTTTGAACTAGGTTTCCACCTCCTTAGAGACCATTCTTCACATAGCTGACAGAAATAAAAGTCAGATTGAATCATTCTGAGACTTGAAGTTAGCTGAGTACTCACTGGCCTGCCTGTCTTCTGGTCCTTTGTGTTCCTGGTCCGCACCCTCCTTACCAGCATCACATGACTGTACTTCCTCTTCTCATACATTTATCACTGTCTCAGATCATTTCTTTACCACCAGCCACCTGTGTAGAAATAAAGTAGACCTCATATGCTTAGATTCACATCTGGTACATAAAATGAGCTGAAAAAAATACGTAACATTGATTTCTTTTAAAGCCCTGATTCAAGTGTCAAATTCAAAGCCTAAATGTGATTGGGTGCGTTTGTCCTCCCTGCTCCTCAATTCCTTATGACTCTACCTACTGAAGGTTTCATAGCAGGCTTCTCTTCCCAGGCCCAGCAAGGGCCTGGCTTCACTTGACTCTTACCGGATCAGCATTTCTGTCTAAGATCTGTTTCTAAATAGTGTGTTTTCTTACTTCTGTGCCTCTGAAATGCCACAAAGCCTGCAGAGTAAACGCTTAAACCCAAGCTCTACTCAACCACAATCTCCCCAGCCACAGACAGCGCCAGTGACTTCTGACGCCTGGGGTTGTTCTTCTGACCTCACTGTAATGCTAGTTGGTAGAAGGAGACCACACCTTCAGTCGAGTGCAGCCTCCTGGGTTGTGAAGTGGTCTTCTACAAGGAAATCTCGTCATCAAATTCTGTCTTCAGCTTTATATTAGAAACACAGTTACATCTCTTCTCCCTGTAAAAGGAAAGTTGTCTTCTTTTTGCCTTCTTAGTAGTGGCCTATTAATAAAATCTTACTTTTGGATTCATTAGCAACAAAAAATTTAATGATTTTAGATAGTTTTGAAGAATATACATCTGATAAAGAAACTGTAGTTATTGTACTAGCAAAAGGGTTCATAATTCGCTTTAAAAGACTACAAAAAAGTGTAGAAATGGCTGGTGACCAACTGGCTGGTTGGCTGCCTGCATGTATACATATATGTTTATGTGTGTATGTATGTATATTTATGTGTATATGTTCTTATGCATGTTTGTGTTTGTGTGTACAAGTGTTTTTGTATATTTGTGTGTACATGTGTATATTTATATAATACATATATTATGTATATGTTTGTGTGTATAAATGTATATGTTATATTTGTGCACATGCGTATATTTATGTGTGTAAATATGTATGTGTTTATATGAATAAATGTGTATATTAAGTTTGTGCACATGTGTATATTTATTATGTAAAGGTGTATATGTTTGTAGGTATAAATGTATATATTTTGTTTATATGTGTATATGTGCATATTTATGTGTGAATATACATGTGCATATTTATCCGAAACATATCGTGTTCCCTATGTGTGACATATATCAGCCATTCAATGCGAACAGACACTTAGAGGACAACTAATCTGAGCAGCTCACAGCTGTAGAACTAGCTGTGGCCTGGCGCTTGCCTGGCAGTGTTAGAGCAGTGAGGGTGCGCGGACACAGTCCTCATCTCCCAAGGCTGCTCTGGCCTA